TAAGACGTATGTATACGACCGAAACTTGTTTCACTAATAAGTTTTACTCAAACTGGAAAATTCATTTGTAAAAGGGTAGATAAAAAGCATGGAGAGCATTACCCTGTTAGCAGATGGTACCGTTTCAGATTTGCATAATTCTCTACTGTATATTGTATTTATGTACTGTTATTAGGTCAAAATTTGTGTGATTTATGGCAACTTATGGGAGCGAATTATGGATGTGGTTAGGACTGTAACCTGATTATTTTGTGATCATGGTTCCTGTACTAACATGAAATTAGTTACAATACAGCAAATTCTTAACATAGGTGAGAATTTGTAACAATGTCAGTAATTTAATAATAATGTTAGCTACTTTTGAAGTGATGAAAGGGAAAAAAGAGGGGGGCGAGTTGAGGCATATGTGGAGACAAAGAATGTTATCCATGTAGGCAAAAAGTGGAATGTATGAGAGGATAGTGGTACCAACACACTTGTATGGGTGTGAAGCACGGGTTGTGAACGTTGCAGGGAGGAGGAGGAAGTGTGTTGCGTAAATATGTAGAGAATTCATAGCTTGGAGATTAGGAGGAGGTATTGTGATACTGTCAGTATTATCCACAGGGCTGAGGAGAGGTTGTTGAGGTCATTTGGACATTTAGAAAGGATGGAGAGAAATAGGATGACTTGGAGAGTGTATAAATCTGTGTGGAGGGGAAGGGGGTAAGGGTTACACTAGTATAGGTTTGGAGGGGGGGGGTTAAAGGAGGTTTTGTGTGTGAGGGGCTTGGACATCCAGCAGGCATGTGTGTGTGTGTGTGTAGGAGTGAATGGAGGCAGGTGCTTTGGGACTTGACAAACTGTTGAAGTATGATCAAGGTAACATTTTATGAAGGGATTCAGGGAAACCTGAGTCTTGGAGGTTGGAAATACAGTGCCTGAACTCGGAAGGAGGGGTGGGGATATTTGCAATTTGGAAGGGCATTAGAACTGTAGTATCGGCATGTCTCTAGCAAGACAGTGATCGAGTGAATGATGGTGAAAGTGTTTTATTTTTGGGTCACCCTACCTCAGTGAGAGACAGCCAGTGTATTTCTTTTATTAACGCATTGACCATTTCTCACCAAGGCAGGGTGGCCCGAAAAAGAAAAGCTTTCATTATCATTCACTCCATCACTGTCTTGCCAGAGGTGCGCTTACTCTACAATTATAAAACTGCAACATTAACACCCCTCCTTCAGAGTGCAGGCACTGTACTTCCTATCTCCAGGACTCAAGTCTGGCCTTCCGGTTTTCCTGAATCCCTTCATAAAGAGTACCATGCTCACACTCTAACAGCGACGTCAAGTCCTAAAAACCATTTGTCTCCATTTGCTTCTATCTAACACACACACACATGCTTGCTGGAAGTCCAAACCCTTCACATGCAAAACCACCTTTACCCCCTCCCTCCAACCTTTCTTAGGCCAACCCCTACTTGCCTTCCCTCCACTACAGATTTATACACTCTCGAAGTCATTCTATTTTGTTCCATCCTCTCTACATGTCTGAACCACCTCAATAACCCTTAGTTTTGGTAATCCTGCACCTCCTCCTAATTTCCAAACTATGGATTCTCTGCATTATATTCATACCATACATTGCCCTCAGACATATCTCCACTGCCTCCAGCCTTTTCCTTGTTGCACCATTCACCACCCATGCTTCACACCCATATAAGAGCATTGGCATAACTATACTCATACATTTCCTGCTTTGCTTCCATGGATTAAGTTCTTTGTCTCCAGTGTATTTAAATAATAAGAATATTTAAATAATAAGAATAATGTGTTGACAGCATTGAATAACCAGATAATGGAAAAAAACAGTTATTTATAGTTTAAGACATTTATTAAAGGAAATGTTTCACCATAAGTGATTTCATTAATCTTGTGGCAAAATGTTTTCTTTAATAAATGTGCTGAACTGTATACAGGTATTCCTTTCTACAGTTTGTTGGTGCCCATCAAACCATCTACAACCAACACTGAATAGTTCTGGTGCATTGTACATTGTACATTATAACTCTGCTCTACTTCACCTTTTACAAAATTATATTTTAAATTTGGCCCAGAATTTGTTCCATTTTTTATATTTGTGATATCTATTTCATGAGTTTGGAGAGGTTCTTAAGAAGTGTGAGAGCAGTCTGAAACCTTCACTGGCCAAATTGTATCACCTGTACCTGCTGAACATTGTAGAGAAGAACATGGCTACCTTCATAACTACAGGTCTCATATCCCCAGAGACTGCCACAAAGGTACGTGCTACTCGCTGATCTCTTAGCCCAGATCAGGGGTTCTGACCCCTGATCTGAAACTTATTCTCAGGGTCAGAGAATTTAAAAAAAAAAATCTTATTTTTCTTATGAAATGATAGAGAATCTTTTTCAGAAGGAAATGAAACTAAAAGCTAAATTTTATGGAAAACGATGGTAAACCCTTTTTCAAAGTTATGGCCCGGGCGATTTTTACGCATGGTGATTTTGCCATTTTGGCCCTTTTTTTGGCCATTTTATTTTTCCCAGTTGATCAAACTCAACCAATTCCCTAGTTTTCCCTTCATTCTAACAAGTGAGTACAAGAACCATCTTTCCCCTATTTCACTATGAAATATTGATAAAAAAATAGTACTTTGCCCAATTTCACACACAATTAAAAATTGCCAATTTAAAAAATGGGGGTCCAAATAAAACTTGTAACGTTCCTGGCACAAAAAATTTCCTCTGTCATTAGTTACATCCCCGGGCCTCCCCTATGTTAGCTTGCTTTCCATGTTAAATTTTTTTTTCAACAAAAAATTATTTACTATTATGTAGATTACTGATTATTGTAATAATTGATAAAAAATGACAGTGCATTTGAAACACCATTAGACGCCTTTTGGTGCGTATTGGATGATGACATATTTTGTGTCTCTGGAATTGACAAAAATCGAACATTTTGGCTACTTTGAACCCAATTTCAAGCTTTTTTTCACTCCGAAACCAATCAAAATCATCTATTTCTGAAATAAGGGGAACCTGGGTTTTTGATCCCGTTGTATGTAAAAACTATAGATAACTCTTAAAATTTTTTTTTTGTTAATATTTCCCAAAAGAAATATGTAAACCCAAATTACAATCTTTTCCAACCCCAAAAATATTAAAAAAAAAACATTTTATAGAGAAAACTATAGTTTTACAACGACAAAGGCATACGAAAAACCGAGGTTCCACCGTTACTTCTATTCTATCAAAAAGAGCCAAGAAACGGAAATACAACTAAAAACAAACAAAATCACTGGAAAGTCATGTTTTAAGCCCAAAAAAATGGTCATTTTTTCCTCTGCACGCCGCGCAGGATTTTTTTAAAGTGGTGCACACTTAATGAAAAAAAACCCCTTCCTCATATCAGGCCCAGTTTTTTTGCCACAGCTTTCTGAAAAAAACGAGCCATCACAGAACCGGGACTGACCCGCACTTTAAACCTAGTACAAAAGGACCCCCTCTAAGGGTTTAAAAACAATTGGTTTTCATTGTTGCTAAGAAGTCAAACTGTGCTGTTTTTGACCCTTTTAAACCCCTTTTAGGGTCAAGACCCCCGGTCCTAATTCGTTCTCAGGATCAAAATTTTTCAGGAAAAAAAAAAAGGGGTTTTCTTATGAAAAGATAGAGAAATTTTCCCGATGGCACTGAACCAAAAGTATAAATTTAATGGGAAAAATCATGGAATTAGCTTCGCAAAATTAACATTTCAAAGATAAAACACATCGCGATTTCGCCCCTTTTAGCCCTATTTTCGGGCCCGTTTCCCCCCCCCAACCATTGCTAAAATCATAATTATTTGCTAGAAAACCATTTTTTTTTCGATTGAGTAAAGAAAACTCCCCCCTTACTGATTTCAACATGCAAAGGTGGTCAGGGGAAAATTGGCAATTTTGGGGCCCAAATTTTCCCAAATTTCAAACGTCCAATTTCAAAAAAAGGGGCCAGATAAATAAGACAATTCCTACCAAAAATAACATTTTTTCTCTGTTCGTTATCATGTTCCAGGCCCCTCTTATATTACTTTTGCTTTCCATTTTGATTTTTATTCTAAAAAAATTGATTTACTGTTAGCAGATACGATTATTGTAAAAATGGATAAATAAATTCAGCGCATTTTTGGAAAAAATGTTAACTCCCCATTTATTATCGGACGCATGGGTGTTTGTTTACTCTTGAAACGGAGAAACAACTTTTCCCCACTACTTTGGCTAAATTTCCAAGGTACTTTTCATCGTGAAACCAATAAAAATCATCCCCCATTCTGTAATTATCTTCCATCTAAAAAAAGACCAAGAAAAGAATACATCCTTAATCCATACAAAAATAGGGTACACTGCAAAGTCGCTGTTTTAAACCCAAAAAACACTGTGGATTTTTTTTTTCTTTTAAACAGTGTGCTGCAGGATTTTTTTTTATACGTCAACGCCCACCACCCCCATTCTTTCATAGTGGGCCCCCAGTTTTTCTCTCGCTAATTTTGGGCACGGAATTTACGCATTCAAGTACACACCCCCCCTGGCTTTCAAGACGTCAATAAGCCCCAACTCTAAAAAGGGTTAAGTTTTATTGTGTGTGCTTTCTATGACTCCCTTTGCAAGCGATGAACACACCAATTCAAGGCTGAGGGACTGATTACCTCAAAATCCTCTTTTCCCTTTCCCCCATTCTTTTTATTTTTTGGGTTGAAGAAAACCCCTGGTGGGAAACATTTCTAGAATAAAATTCCCAAATGTTCCCCAAGTGTTCAATATCAAATTGTTGGGTTTTCTGAACCTTTTTTTACAAGGAACAAATGAAGTTAAAAGGCATTGAAGATAGATTATTTTGGTAGGAGAGAGGGAGGATAATGATTTCTATACATTTTAATTAGTTTTATTTAAAGAAGGTTATGTATCATTTATGATGTGATTTACCATGTAATTAGTTAATAAATGTGTTTTTCTTCTTATAGGCAGTTTCTGTGTCTCGTGCTGTGTGCAGGGATCTTGGGACAGATGCCCTTGCTCTCTGCGAGGCCTTTGCCATCACTGATGCAATGCTGTCTGCACCAATTGCCCAAAACTGGGTGGAATATAATATTGGAGACAACAAGGGGGAATTGTAGATTTTAACTTGTCTTAATACTCAGGCCTCAGCAGTAATTAATGATTCACTTGGAAACACTTATAGAGTATTTCCATGTAATTAAGTTACTGCCTTTGTCCTTTGAAATTTTTTCTGTTTTAAAGTCTATATTTTGGCTTTGTAACAGAATCAAGGCTCATTTTATTTTTGGAAATGATTAGCAACAAGCTTAGTGATAAGTGTGACTATTTTTGGAAATGATTTATAACTAACTATGTGATATGACTGCTTGAATACATTGTATTAGAAATGAAGGAGGCAGTACTATTTGATATGAAGTGATGTGCTTTTGTGTATGTACATATATTACAATGTTTCTTGCCAGAATGGGACATATTAACCTGAGAGATCAGCACAAAGGGGATAAGATTATGATGAGAATTTTAGATAGATCATCCTCCTTTAGAATGGGAAACTATAATTTTTCAAATATTGGTTATTGGTTTACAAATTGATTGCATTTTGTAGTGAAAGCTAGAGTATTTATAGGATTTGAACTTTGGTCTGGAGATGTTTGAAGGTAAGTGCCTGTTCTTGATTTTTTTTAACTACAGCCATTTAGATTTTTAAGTAAATGTATATTTGTAAATAACTATTTTCTTAATGTCATATTTTTTGCACCACTTGTTTCTTTGAAATTATCACATTTTGTTCTCCCTGTTCATGCTGCCAAAAAAATCTGTTAATTTTCTTATATTCTTCTATTATCTTTCTATATTTCTGGTTACCATATTCCATATTTTCTTCCTATCTACCACTAAAGGCATTTCTGATAGTAACATTACCTATTTGTAATTTACAGGCAGAGCTATACCTCATGGTGTCTCTTCAGTGTTAAATTGGTTAGTGTTCAGAGGTTGTAGCACATGGAATGGGATCCTCTTGCATCCCATTCCAGTATTCTACCACTCAGTTTGCGAAGAAAATTTTCTAGAAGCCTTTAACAACAGAGCAAATTTTGGTGATTAGAGTCATTCACTGTAACCCATTTTTTAACTTGGTGACAAATTTTACCACATCCTTTTATTTTTTTTCCTACAGCACATGCACATCTATGTACTGTAGTGTGTGCATGTATTTTTTGTCTGTCTCAGTGTCACTGTCAAATTTCAACATCTGTACATTTATAATTGGTGTCTTTCATTACAAAAACTTTTTCATTTATTTGTCATTAAGTGCATCCACAGTTCACACTGCCAGAAACCTTCCTGCAGCATTTTATAAATTCAAGCTGCAAAGGGTTATTCAGTAGAAAATATACATTGTGTTGAGAATTTAAAAATAACTGCAGTAGTAGGCACAACGTTTAAGGCAAATGTTTTTCAAAGAATTTCGAGTATCTGACTTTGTTCATGCTTCTTTGCGTGTGCTGGTATGTATGGTTGTACATACTTAACTTCTTGTTAAAAATGCTGTATAATCTAATAGGTTGAATTGCTTTGTAAAATTTAGTTTCCTGCCTTCACTCACTTGCTTGAAAGACATGCAGTCCTAATTCAGTGAAAAACTATCCTTGAAAAAATTACTAGTAGTTTTGTATAAGGAAAAATTTTAATTAAAATGTTGACTTCATTAAGTCTCTAAGTAATATTTATATTTTTTAGGTGGTTTAAAAATTTATTAATGTTAAAAGCAAAGGGTTATTTATTTATTTTTTCTTTTTTTCAACAAACCCCGGGGGTATCCCCCCCAAGGCAGGGGGGGACCTTTAAAAAAAAAAAACCCAAAATTTCTCTTTTTTAAATTTTTGAAATTTATTTAAAGGGGAAGAAAGGTTTCTAAGGGCCCCTTGCTCCCATTTTTTTAATTTTAGGTTATAAAAAACTGAGGTTATTAAAAGCTTTCAAAAATTGAATTTTTTTATCAGTTTTTGTGGAATTTTGGTTTTTTTTATAGCACCAAGATCAAATTTTTTTACTTTATTTTTTGTGATTTAATGGTTTGAAAAAACCCAAAGTTGAAGAATTGAGACACTTTGCGCATATGGAATCTTTATTCAGGAAACTTTTTCGCACACAGTGGCCACTGTGGGGCAAAACTTTCCTGAAAAAGATTCCCATATGCTGCAAATTTTCTCAATTTTCCTTGTTATTTATTTTGGGTTTTGGAAGTTTTCACTTGTAGCAAAGCAAAAAAGTAAGTTTTGTCATGGAACGCCTTCCTACTGAACAAAAAAAACTAAGGGAAAAAATAAATAAATAAGAAATGATTTAGGAAAAACAAAAAAAAAATGTTTTTGAGAATTTTACTAAAATTTAAATATAATAAAAAAAAATGGCCTTCATTCTGTAGTTGGGAGGAGTAGTAGGGCCCCGGAATTCCTCTTGTATTTATGTGGGTTTATCCTGGGCAAGGGGTAATCCGATGTTCTGGAATCTCCTACACTTGGTGGGCACAATAAATAGAAAGGGGCCCGGGTAGTTGTAGAAAAATGTTAATAAGTACTATAACCGCTTGCCCTTTATCTGGCGCTACCTGGAAGACCACGCCGGAAACAGAGCTGAAAAATAAAGAAAATAAAACGGGTTACCCATAGTCATGAAATATAACATTTAAGAAAAAAAAAAATGAAAAAACCCCCAAAATCATTCGGAAACCACAAACACTAAAAGAACAAACAGTAATACTCCTGGTAGACACCCCCCTGATTAGGAGAAGAGGGAGGCGAAGTGATCCCCAAAACTTCAATCCCACCGGGAAGGCAATATTACCAGGTAAAACTTTAACAAAGGGGACCCCAGGAATAGTTTTCCCCCAGCCCCCCGGGAAGGGGGGGTTTTGTGGCGCGCGAAAACGAAACTCCAATGGTTCCGGGGTGCCCGAAAAACCTTAACCCCACTTACACCTACTTTTCCCCCAAAATTTCCCCCCTTCCCAAAAACTTATGGACGGGGGGTAATAAGTCACAAACAGAGGGAAAGCACTAAATACAACCTCGGCTCACCAATCTGAAAAGGGGTTTTCAGACCCAAAAATATAAACGACTTTAAAAACTTATGGGGCTAATAGCCAGAGCCCATCCAAGAGTTGCTAGACCCTTTAAAGTTTTCCAAATACATCAGTGCTTGTGATTGTTTCAACAAAAAGGGGTTTACCGATGGGTAGTATTTAAATCTACTTATACCCCATACAAAAGCATAACATTTTTCTCCACAGGGAATATCTTTCTTTTTGGGGAAAGCTTTTACTGGGAAAGAACGGGGAAGGGGTGTCTCCTCATAATATTGAAGTAGACACCCCCGATCCAAATGGGAGGCATCTGTTGGGAGACAAAATATTTTTATTAATATCTGGTAATTTTAGGACGGGGGGTTTAAAATATACCTTTTTTTCTTTGAAGCTTTTTTGGGGTTCCTCAGAAAAACTAAGAGTTCCTTGACACCCTTTTTCAAATAGTCTGAAAAATGAAGTTAAGCTATTTAGTTTTTGGTACGAAATTCTAAAAATTTACAGACCCAAGGAAACTTTTAAAAAAATTTTTTGGTAGCAGGGAACGTACTTTCTAAAAAGGGTTTTGGTCTTTTTAGGAAAGTGGTGAAAAGTTTTTTATCAAAAGAAAAATAAACCCAAGGGGTATTGTACCTTATGATACCCAAGAAAGCACTTTTGGGGTTTTAACTTAAGTCCATGAGTTTTTATTTTTTTTCAAAACAAGCATAGTTATTTAGTGGTCTTCCCAGGCTTTGTCATGATTAAATATTATCAAAATACACTGTAATTCTTTTAATCAAAAGAACTTTTTTCTCAAACCTAATATACGGGGCACATGCGGTAACCAAGCCGAAGGCATAGTGCGGATTGCTAGACCTCAAAGAGTAGGGAAGCAGTGTATGGTTTCGAGCGGGGTGTAATGGCCTTGATGGTATGCTTGGGAGATGTCTAATTCCGAAAGAATTTGCATCAGGGAATTTATACAATCAGATAAAATTTATTTGGCATGGGTTCTGCACCCCATTTAGTTATGTTTTTAAAATAACGAAAATTTTGGGGCAAGTCGGTAAGAATTAGGGTTTTTAACCAAACAACTGGTAAACAAAAAGGATTTCAAAGGTTCTATGATGTTTTGGGTTAAATAGTTTGTCCCCTCATATAAAAGTTTTCCCGTAAGTAAGGGAAAAGGGTAGACTTTCCGCTTTACGGGTTCATGACCCGACAATTAAATTTGTGTAAATAGGGGGTAAGTCCTGGTCCCTCTGTAATACGTCAGAAAATGAATTTATAAGGCTTATTTTAAACTTTTGTTTATTTAAAATCGTTGTTAATGTTGACATTTGACTTCTTTGGTGGGGATCAGGCTTTAAAAGATACCCAGTATTCCTTCGATTCTGTAAAAGACTCGTCATCTATAATACAAATCTACATTCTACGAATCACCATTGTATCCAAGCTGAAAGAAAAAATATCTTCGCAAAGGCATTTACGCAAAGATTAACTTCTTTTCTATGGTACCGTTTAAAAAATTTGACGGAAAAATTCTCTCTCTACCCTTTTGACTCCAAGATAAAACTCCCTTATTGCAACCTTCACTCTTTAAAAGGGTCCGCGCCATGTAATTAGAAATTTTTGTTGGATTTGTAGGTAGGAGAACTAAAACTTCATCACCAACTTTAAACGTAGCTTGAATTTTTATGTCAAAATAGTCTTTTCGTTTCCATAACATCCCCGGTTTTTACTGCCAAATGGGCTTTTTTCTTCCAACCTTTCCCCTTAATCAAAAGAACTATAGTTTTTTTTAAACCTCGGTTTGAATCTTTGGACCAAATTTCATTCAAAATAATAGGGGAAACCACGACTTTCCCCCATAAAGCAATTCAAAAGGGGAAAAAACCAAAGGGGAACATTGGGAAATCCCGCGCATTGCAAAAAGAGCCATGGTAAAAATTATGCCAGTCCGGGGTTTAAAGAATACATAGTTTTTTTGTTAGACTTTAGGATGGCATTTTTGTCCTCCACTTTTTTCCGTTACACTGGGATGGTAAGGTTATAAAAAGGGGTTTTAACACCCAAACAAGTTGATAAACGTGTTCCAAAAAATTTCTGAAGTAAATTAGCCCCTTTACCCGAAAAAATTTTCACGGGGTATACCACCGTGAAAAAAAAAAAAAAAGGCTTCTGCGACTTCTATGGACGAATGGATTTTAAGGGTACCGCCTCGGGAAAAGGCTGGACGCGAGTCAATCATAGTTAAAATATATTTATGACCTCCTGATGAGGGGGTGTGATACCCCCAACTTTTCTACGAAACCCTTTGCAAAAGGGATGAAAAAATTGCATCTTTACCATGGGAAAACCTCCTAGTTCTACCCTTCTGCGTGGAAAGTGACAACGTGACATGACTGCAGACTTATGATTCAGAGACATGTAGGCCAGAAATATGGGTCCTTGATTTTATTTTAGGTCTTCCTATTGAAAAATGGCCAGGATGGCAAGCATGAGAAACTTTAAAATAGTTTCAGGGCAACCCTGCGGAATGAAAAATAGGCTTCGCCCAACGTCATTGGGCTTGTCCGCAACACTATGTCTTGTAAAAAAGATGTTTTTGAACTAAAACTTGAAAGAAATTTCTTCTCGGGGTCACCTTTGCCATTAAAAGCAACTTCCAGATTCCCTAAGGAAGGCAAGTCTTTTGAAGACCCCCAAATCTATATGAGACAGCTCGATTGGCTTTCCTTTGAAAGAACAAATGGGGAAAGGGTTTTTTACCTTAGACTGAGCTCGGGTAACGACGTTAACGACTAGTTGTTGTATAGTTTTGGCCACACGTATTTCCCCCCACGGGCGTCTGCGTTCCATTCAAGTGACTGATTTAAAAAAGGTGTTCCCCGGGTTTTGTAACCATCACTCTCTGTTTTTAGGTTACCCAACGAATCTCATCGGGAATATCTGTGAAGAAACAGAGATATTGGGTTCCCAAACCCCTTCCTGGAAACCCCAAAATTCCAAACAGTCCTTCTCAGAGGGGGAAAGCCCCCTTGTTTTTCCCCAAACCAA